AAATTGACGGCCATCTTGAATTTTGAAAAATTGTAAATATTTCGTTATATAAGCTTCTCTAAGTTTTGTAACCCAGATGAAACAATTTCTTTTAAAAAAGCTTGCAAGATATAACATAGCAAGCTTTGACTATGGGGCTCGTCGGAGTGGCAAATGGACTCTCAGGAGATGGCACCGTCTGCCACCATCTGATTAATGTCAAATAAGCAGTTTCTGAGAGTTTAGGATCATGACTAACAAATTATCATAATGGACATAAATAGAAAAGGCGGAAATGTTTTAATAAGACTTAATTTGCAAAAAAACGAACTTATTTTGCAGCTGTTTTTACTTTCTGCCATATGTTTTGACGGCCATTTTGGCTTTTTTGCCATATGTAACGGGCTTAAGTGTATTCACTAGCACTGTTGTGCTCTCCTGATAGGATACACGTTCAAAAAAGCTGTCAATAAAGTTTACCCGGCGACTTCTGCTCGTTTTTCTATTTTTTCTCATAAATTGACGGCCATATTGAAAAATGCTCAAGGTCTCGGAAATAGCAACCAAGCTAATTTTGCTTCTCTCGACCTAAAGAATGCATTTCAGCGAAAAAAGTTTACAGGAAAAAACATTGCAGGGTTAGCGTTCTGGCTACTCGACTATGACTATAGAGTGGCGTCAAAGCGGTCATTAAAACATTACTCTCTCTCTTTCTCTCTCTCTCTCTCTCTCTCTCTCTCTCTCTCTCTCTCTGTCATCTCACCTGCTTTAATTTTACATCAACCTCCGACTCTAATTGATCCATTTTTACAGCACCAACAAGATCCAAGCTGTGCGACTGTTATTTGCCATACCGGACATCGTGAACTTCTACAATGACCACCTTGAGAATTGCATGCACCTGGAAATACAGCACAGGAAAATGTGTTAATGGACAGTTGATGTCAGGATGAGGTTTGTTTTTAGTAGTATACACGAAGCAATATAATAACACACAAAAACGAAGAAATTAGGTATTAAAAGTAGGTTGCAAAAGACTCGGGTTCAGTCAATGTATAGTAGGTACCATTATTATCGAAGAGGTTTATGAACTTTATGTCCACGCAAAATTGACCAGAATGTCAGGCTACGCCCACAGTTAGGCCTACGTCTTTAAAAGATTGCAAAATTACATCTGAAAGGAGCAATTTTAATCAATCTTATCGTCTCTCTCTCTCTCTCTCTCTCTCTCTCTTGTTTATTATCATTTTATTATCTCTCAATCTAGTATCATTTGCTGGAAAATTGAGAAAACAGCTAAAAGATTACAGTTTGTCGCTTTGAAAATCTATAATGTTACCCCAACTTCAATGTAAATTCAAGTGGCGTTATATACTTACTGCACCAGCCGTCATCACAGGCGTGAGATACTGTAAAAGGCAAAATAGATACCGTTTCATTATCTACTACATGTAAGACTGGCAACACAAATCTTTCTTAAAACAGTTTTTCTCGTTATTAAAGTTTAATTTAGCATTTTTAAGTTCCAACTTGATTAGTTTCCAAGCGAGATTACCATGCTTTTTACCTGACATCACGGCAGTTAGCAAGAAAAGCAGAACAACTAAAGTAAATATTCGTGACATGTTCCAAAGGCAAATGCGACGAAGTGCAAGCGCAGTGTCCTTAAACGTCGCCACGGTACTTTTACACGCACATTGTCCTTTAGTTTTCTTTTATGAACATGTCTGAGATACAAATCTTCACATCTGTTGTACTTGTCGCGTACAAATATGCAGGAATTAACGATAAATCAAAATGATTGTGGAATGTTTTGTGAACCAGGTTGCAACAAAGACTGCCGGAATGCGATGCCCTCAAATGTATAAACTGTTTAATATTTCATTTCTTTAAAATGCTAATAATGTGAAGTTCGTAGTTTTGTGAGGGTGTATATTTTTCATTTTGCCTATTTTCGGATATACAATAGGCTTTGTCACGACATGAGAGGCAAATTCAACAATTTAATGGCTTTGAAGAGTTGAGCTTTTCATATCTACATCACCACCGTCTTAAACGAAAGCCCACCGTGTTAAATGGGGACAGGAATGGGTGTCTTGTCTTTTCTCTTGTCGCTCGATCCTTACTGCAGAAAGGGGCACTTCAAACGCTAAGTTGGGGGGGGGGGGGGGGGGGGCTTCGCACGTGCTTTAATTCCCTCTCGATCCTTCATTTAGTTCAAATTTTATGAGTCGGATTATGAATCTCAAATGTAAAGTACAGAGAGAGAGAGAGAGAGAGAGAGAGAGAGAGAGAGAGAGAGAGAGAGAGAGAGAGAGTAATTTCGTACCGCTACAAGGAAATACGAAAACTTCGTATCACGAGCATTAACATTATTACATATCACATTATTACATATCACATTATTACATATCACTAAGTTTAAAAACACTTAGCAATTCATTTCCTTTCCGTAGAGATATATAGTTTGACCAATTTCCCTTGTTATTTGCAGTTTTGAAAGTTTGCCAACATAGGATACTCCTGGCTGTCAGAATCACGTGTTGAATGCCCTTCCCTAAGTGCATATATATATCATAGTTACAGTCCCGCTCGCTCGGTGGCAGCACGTTACAAGCATTTGTACCTGGAAATATATTCGTATAATGTATTGGGAATTAAAGATAGTTATCGGATGGTCAAAAATGAAAGTAGTGAAATCTGTAGTGTTGTCGTACTTAAAACATGGAAATAATTTTTCTAATAACAAAATCTTCTGTTGGGATTAGATAACATTATTGATAGTTGGAAGTAAAATGCAAACGCCGGTNTTTTTTTTTTTTTTTTTTTTTTTTTTGACCTATTTCATCTAAATTGGACAAAAAGATAAAGCTATGTTATATAACCACCACCAAATACCACCATGGCCCTACAAAGGGATAATAGCACTCAGATGGTTGGTATTCGTCTAGATGCTAAAGAAGTTTTTGAGAAAAAAACAAGGATTTAACATGCAGGTTAAACTCTTCACCTGACTTAAAAAAACTTAATCACCCATTTATATTTGACCAGATATTATAAGTGCAGCTTCATAGCTGATCCAAAATGACTTTCTACTATTTTCTTTTCATTCATATATTGTAAAAAAAATTGATGGCTATATTTCAAATTAGCATAAAAATGCATGCAGAAGTCCACATACTTATCAGCCTGTTTGACAAAGCAAATTAAAACTGTGTTGCAAAACACTTTTCAAAGATTTCTGTAAACCAAGAAGAGAACAGCATAGCATGTATTTATTTTTTTATTTTTAAAATAAAAAATTAGAAAAATTTTAAAAACAGGCAAAGATGAAGCTGGGTCATGCAAGGCAACTAATTGTAAGAAGCTGGGGTATAGCAGTCAGTTTATGGTCTATTGCCATAAAGCCTAGGCAAACATGCTAAATACTAGCAGCGGCTTTTTTCAATTACATACTCTCTTTTCTTTCTCCATTTCCATTTCCTGAAAAACATCATCATACAAACAAAGAGAACATTTATGTGACAAGCTACAAAACACCAAGTGAACATGAAAATTATGCTTGAATACAAATCACCCTTGGCAGTGAGGTGTGAAAAATTACAACATTGGAGATGACTGCTATGTGAGCATGACGTGACATTAACTGTGAAAGTGATATACTAAGTACACAACCAGGTGTCTTCACAGGGTGAACAAAACAGTGTACACGTTTCTGGAAACACCAATGGAAACGGAACATGATCTGATACAAGATACAAATTGGTGAAATAGTTGTTACAAGCAATTTGTGTCACAGAGACTGTGGCAGACACATGTGGCTCTGTAATGAACTGAAAAAGCAAATTGTGGGCAAACTGCAAACGTGAACATTTCACAAGGAATCAGAATAAGCACAAAGCTTAAACATAAGCAATGTACCTTTCCTATGATATTTACCTGTCTTTCTCTTTCCTTTCCCCTATCCCCAGAGGTGACTGAGAGGCACTGCAGTATAGAACTCAGAGGCTCTTTAATCAGCTCTCTCTCTATTGGCTGGCTCACCAGGGGTAGGCTGGCATTCCAGTAGTGTTTAGCTGCTATCAGAGCCAGGTCATAGTTGTTGGCATTACGAGCAAACCTGAAACAGTCCACAGACACAAGTGAATGTTCAGATATCTAATATTAACCTGTTAACTCAACAAAAGCTCAAAGACTTGCACCTGGGAACAGTGAATCTTATTCTACTCGGCTGGAACTATAAGAATGAGAGAAATAGAATGAATATCACATATTATATAATTTTAAAACAAATCAATCTGCTTTTGAATGTAAGCTACCAGTATGCATCATTTTAAATCTCATAAAAGAACACAGTATTTTAATAATTCTGAATTCTTCTATTTCTAAATCAATTTAGGTATACAAAATGAAACTGAAACTGCTGACACTTTCTTGAGATAATGATAAAATTGTGATGTGATATAATGTGCTATAATCTAACAAGCTTACCGTGCAGACAAGAAGAAGCAGTTCATGGCTTCCCTCCTTATGGAGTTCTTGCCAACCATATTCTCAATGTAGCTCTGACCCAGGATGCTGCTTGCATAGGCCAGCATTTCCTGCTCCAGCATGTACTTGTGCCTACAGAAAAACATGGAACCTTTATTTACTTTGAATATAAACTCTTTAACTTGATGTTCAACATTATTTGTAGGTTATTTAATGAAATCTGTTAGGCAACCCAACAAAAAATTTCAAAAATCAGAATTACTTTATTTGTCTTGCAATAATTGCAAATCAATCAATCAATCAATAAATCAATAAATCAATCGATAAATAAATAAATATATACATAAATATTATTTATAATAAAATCAAATTACAACCTCTGTACTAAAAGAACCAGATTAACTTACATATCTAGTTTCCTTCCCTTTGGCTGTGTGCCCATTTTCTCAAATGCCAATGCTTTCTTAGCACACTTGATGACATGCTTGTGGTCCTTGATCTCATGAGCCAGCAGGGCCAGTCTGGTCCAGATGACCAGCTCTATCAGCCTGTCTGGCCACTTACAGGCCTCAACCATGCCTACCACCTGGAAACATAGAAATCTTATCTGGTAGTAAATTATCTACATGTAAGTCATTTTCCTACATAACTGATATCGCAGTACCTTATTTTGCGTAAGTCTTCATATAAAATATTTGTTTTCTCTATAAAACGTTTGATAATACTCAAGGCAGTAAAAAACTGTGGACAGTTCAATATAGCTGTCAACCCATTTTTTGTGTTCTGACAATGATTAAGGAAAATCACACTACCCTGTTCTACTTTTACAGTTAGTGATTGAACCATGAACAACAAAGCAGAGACCAGTGATTGTAATTACAGAAACTGCTATACAAACTGTTTCCAGTTCAGAAGTGGTCATTTACATATATGTATAATACATATATGTAAATGACCACTTCTGAACTGGAAACAGTTACACTAGTTTCAAACAATAATATTCCATACCTCTGCCAATGGTGTCGCATCCTTGAATTCATAGATACCATTAGTGCTGAGAGACAGCATCTCCAAAGCAACCTGGGCTCTTGTCATGGGTTTCTGGCCTTCCATGCTGGACTGTAGTAAAACAATCAAAGATATGAAATGAAATATTTATCTTTATTAAATTTGGCAAATGTCAGCCCACAAATTTCACTGTAATAAGCAACAATACTTTAAAAATTACAAAATAAGGCATTTTAAAAAGTCCATGAAAAAAACATGGTATATCTTAGGATCTGCTGATTGTTTCTAATAAAATCAACAATAATCACCTCATCATCAGTTCCAAGAGTTTTGGGAATAGCCTGTTGCTGAAGCTGTTTGATCTGTACCCAGAGCTGTATCATGGGGTATCTGACAGCAACGGGGACTATATCTGCAGCAACATTGCCTTTAGTCACATCCATGGCATACTGGATCACCTACAATATATTTATAACATTAATATATTCAGCAGCATATTCATACTGAAAATGGATGGTGATTTGAAACTATCTGCATTCCTTAAAGAAAGAGTAAACAAAATGATTTCATTTGGACAAACTTTTAAACAATATAATCAAATATCACAGTTGGATTAATATTGATCTCAATAACTATCTAATTATGCAGGATCAAGTACAAGTTATCATTCTCACTTCCATAGCTTTCTTCAGATCAGGGGCAGCATCAGGGCTGATGTTGACTTGGGGAATTGGCTTTCCTTTGGCTGCTGCAACTGCTGCTGCTGGGGGTGGTGGGCGTGCTTTCTTGGCAGATTTCTTCCCCCCTTCATCCGCAGACTTTGGGATCTGTGGCTGGGGTGGCAGGACTGCTTCTTTAGGAGGTGGAGGTGGAAGCCAGGGCTGTATTAAGCCATAGGCCAAGGCACAGCAGATGTACACCAACAGGATTGTTTCACTATAAACAAGAGTCATTTAGCTGTATCATAAAGAGTTCAATAACAAAATACACAAGAAAACAAATGCTTATTAAGTGCAATGATTGAAATAAAAGTAAAGTTGATAGAAAAGCAGTATGAAGTAAAGTTTAATTAGATCTAAACTCATTCAACAGAATTTGTATAAGACTGTCATGTCCTACTATACTGCACCAGAATAATCCTCTTTTCATAGCAGAAGAATTATTTCATTAAGATATCACAGCTCACTTCCAAACAGGTCATTCTCACCTGTCATGTCCAATTTTCTTAAGGCCATCCAGTACAGTCTGCAGATCCTCTACGACCTCATTGTGTCTGTTCTGAGTCAGCCTGTGGTTGTTATAGTTCCACACATAGGCAGCAGCACTGCATACTATCCATGGCTCCTTTAGCTGAATGCCGTGCTGGACAGCCTTAAGGAAGTGGTCAGTGCCATCCTTGGACAGCTCCTTGATCCAATCACTATAAAGCAGGGATGCATATTAATTACAATTGCACCGCATCTTTAAAGTATTTAATCATCTTACAAGGGTAAAGACAAAGATATATTGTTCATTTTAACAGTGTGCCTTCATGTCTGTAACTTCTTAAATTTTCCAATTTACAAACATTACTAAATGGGCATGCATACCACTAAAACATCTTTTATGTACACTTGCCTAATAAAAACTTTCACATAAACTTATTGCATACACACAGCAGTTGCCAACACAATTTCAAATATAACAAAAGTTAAAAGAAAAATAATATGTAAAGTTGGAATTTTATACACACCAGTAAGCAATCCAGTCTTCATCTTCCTCTGGCTTTTTGGGCACATATCCCTTTGGTCTCTTACTCTTGTCTTCAGGTGGTATGGGCTTGTCACCAAGCTCTACATGCTCAGTTCTCAACAGGTGGATCAAAGCCTGGAGTAAATTAGAATGGGAACAACAAATCAATGTATTAAAATTGAGAGCTTTATTCTATCTGCATATGGTTTACATAGCTGCTGAATTAAAGAAAACTTTTTTTTATGATGAACGTTTCTCATTATCTTCCAGATTATGTAAATATTGGGTTAAAAAATTAGACAATTCTGGTTGAAGCTGACAAAAAAGCCTCATCCCTGCCATCTGTTTTTAAACCAACCCAAACAATCCATTACCTGCTTATAACAACAGGCTACATAAAATCTCTACATTAGATCCTCTGTACTATAATCTTCAATTTTTACCAAAAAACAACACATCTATTTTTGACTTGTTTTACGAACAAACTCAACCTACCTCTCCCATGATAAAGTTGACCTCAGCTAGCATCCTCACTAGGTCCCTGTCATAGAGGAGAGACCCTGCCTCAGCAGGCTGGCTTGTTGGCCGGCTGACTGGTGTCTTGGGGGGCTGTGGGGTCGCATCTCCCCCTGTCTCATCCTGACCCTCTGCCACAGCCTTAGCCTCTGACTTGGACCTGGGCTTTCTGGGACTGAAATTTAAAAGACCACTCCATTATTGAAATATTGAACAATTATATTGATTTATTAAACTAATTATTAAATAATTATATTAAACTTAATTGATACATGATAAATCCATTGCTGAAACTGCTAAAACACCACTGGGAAGAACATGGACACAACACACATATACATTTCTAATGTATTTCAAAAATTTAAAAAAAATGAAGTTTATTACAAACATGGCTTACCTCTCCACTTCCTCAACTATTTTCCATCTTCCATCATCATAGAGAAGGCAGAATCTGGAGGCCACTCTACACACATCCCACACCTCTTGCTTCCTGGCCACCTTGGCAAGATCACCCCACAGTCTGGCTCTGTACAAGAATAAATTAAAAAGAAAATATAACAAAATCTTTGGCATGTCAAGTTAACATCATTACAAGCACTATGCAAATGCTAAGCAATATGTGTGAAATACTACAGTCTTACACATGATTCAATACATTATCATGACAAACTGCAGTTCATAGAATTGGACCCATAAAAAAGCACTGCTACTACCAATTAATATCTAAACTACAACCAGTGTGCTATTTTAAGTTACCTCTCTCTATCATTCTCATCTCCCAGTCTTTTCAGATGACCACTAGCTTTCTTGACACAGTGAGTGAAGTTGTTTGCTTTTCCAGCTAACTTCTTAAACACTGTCAGAACTCCTTTGGATTCTGTCACCTCTGCAAAACAACAAGAAATAATGCTGTCCAAGTCAATGACAAAGTAACTGCAGAACACACACAGCCATATAGAGAGACCCACCCTTAGTTTCACTTTGACAAATCCTTATTTTCACTTTATCTCTCATTAAGTTTCACTTTGAATCAACCTTAGTTTCATTTGTTCTCACCTTTAGTTTCACTTTCACTATCAAGGACCAAGAGGAAAGCATCAGGAGCCAAAGCCTGTCCAGCCCTAACAAGGAGTGACCTCTTCATCCTGATAGTGCCAGTTTCTGACTTCCTGGCCTGTAAAACATGTACATGATTTAGCAAATATGTTCAAGTTAAAATTAAGTTTAGTTTATTAAATACACACTGTAACAGAAACTGTAATAAAATCATTTTTCAGCTATGTCTTGTAATAATAATTATGGCAGAGTTACAAAATTAAAACAAAATTAAAGAACAAGAATATCTGAATTGTATTACCCAGTAAGGCCTTAAGGTCACAATGAACTATATACCTGCTCTATGATCATGGCAGCCTGGTCCTCTGGTCTCTCTGGCTGCTTGTACAGTTCTGCCCTCAGCTGAAGTCTATGCAAGGTCACTTCTAAACGCTCTTTGTAAATGTTGCCATCATCCAATGAAAGGGCCTGATTGCCAAAAATAAACAATTTACTTTTTACTTTTTATATGCCACTCAGCCATATGCCAAAGCAACAATCTCTAAAATGATGCTGATATCAATGTAATTCCATGTAACTATATAGGCAAGACAGGCACTGTTTGAAAGCCCTACCATCAAAAGTAAATATAAAAAGTTGCACTTCTCACCTTTCTCAGGTGTTCCATAGCAACCTCAATCTGTTCCTCATCCTCCTCGCACTTGGCCAGCTCAGTGTGTATCTGACAGCGCAACAGAACCAACAAACTAAAAAGGAGGAAATCAAGGTGCAGTTTTTTCACAATGAGAAATTTTAAAGTAATATAACATCGTATTACCCATATGATATATGCAGTTTAACTACAATTGATGATCAATAAGATTTTAGTTCCTGATTCTTTCAAACTGATATATTATGGCACAGCACCACAACAAAGTACATCCATTTCTCATCTCACATCTGACAGAATAAAATTCAGAAACTTTTTTATGTAGTTTACACACTCTGCTGTTGTTCCCATTTTGAATAATTAATTGTATTTTCTATTTCCTTTCTTGTTTTTTGTAATGCAAAAAAGGAAAAAAAAAGAGGTGTCACTGAAGTTAATACCTCTGAATGTCCTCCAGTGATGTGGCCACCAATGTGAGAGGTTTCCTGACATGCTGTCTGAGGTTGGCCTGCAGTAAAGGCAGACAAAGGTTCCACTGTGTTACACAACCAGCCTGGATCACATTGGGGTTGCCCAGCCGTAAAGCATTCATCAGGGCTTCTTCACAGCGCTTTATTGCCTGCAAACGAACCTAAAAGAAAGACGTACCAGGTTGGAAAACAGTAAGTCAAAAACAATACACAATGTCTGCTATCAACCACAACAATTCCAGCATTTGCAAAAACTAGTGCAAAGTCAATAACAAATTTCTATTAATTATATGATTGCAAGTTACAACAGCATACTGTATGCTATCATCAATAATATTTCAGAACAACTGGATTATATCAAAATTTGATTTTGTTGCATTAATAAAAGTTATCTTAATGTGTACTCACATCCACTGCTGCCTTCTGGTAAGTTTCCTGCTTATCTCCCAGTTTCTTCACCATCAGATCACACTCAACAAATTCAGTCTCCAAGTAAAACCCCTGATCCTAAATTGAAAGTCATAGAGTTAAAAAAAATATATAAAATGTGAAAATTCAGTTCAGTTAAGTTCAATGAAGTCTATAATATCTACTACTACAAAAAAATTAAGGCAACAGTCATTTGAAAAAGTAAATAAAATAATTTTTACCTTGGCAATACAGCTCTTCATGTGTTCTACGCACTGTTCTGCCAAGTCTGACTGGTGCAGCTCTAGGCAAAGACGAGCTAGCTCTAACAACAAGTACGGTCTGAAATATAATAAAGGAGATATTTCATCAGATCTTTAAGATCCACTATTACAGATTAAACATTGGGCAATATCTGTCCACAAGCAGCAATTTTTCTTTTAAATTGTGAATATACTACAAGATAAACATGTTTGCAATCAAAAAAATACTGTAATTTAATTAAATATTGAAATAATTCATGAGAAAAAGGATAACAATTTTTCACGAAACATATTTATCATTTATGATTTTATTAAGCTACACAATTAGGCAATAAAATATCAAAGCAAAAATGTTAAACTATTATACACAGTAGAAAATGTTATGTGACCATCCAGACCAAGAGATTGCAATGAACATGCTGGCTAGCTGTAACTGGAAAAAGTTGTATATTAGCTTCAGACAGACACTGCTAACTAATATTCATTGTTCTGCATAATGCAATTTGCATTAATGTACCAAGCCACATCATGTTATCATATAAAGCAAAGAAAAATAAATGAAAACTTGTTGCCTTTTCTCTACACTACATTACAGGCTACATAGTTAAAGTAGCATGCATACACAATGTGATTACTGTACCAAAATGGTGATAAGTGTTAACATCACACATTGATTTAATATATCTATTGTTAATATACTTTTTCATTAAGCATTTTAAGGCTTTTTTAATATCGGTGTCATTTGGCAATACACTGTTAATTACTTTGTGCCATCTGCTGTAATTGTAATCTATTCATACAAATAAGATTACAAAGTAAAAAGATGATTAAGAGCTTGTCCACGAGAGAACCAGCCCAGGGTGGCAAGGTGGGGGTCAGCGGATTTCAACCAAATTTGTTGTATGGAGGCATATTAGGAAGTTATTCATGAGTTAGGAAGGAATCCCAAAAATATCTTTTCTTCAGAGAATTACAGACTATTATAAGTCATGGCTTATGTGGCCTCTTTGAGACTCCATTTTTACCTTGGAAAAATAATGATAAATTTTGTGTAAATTAAACAGAAATGGAGAAAAGTAAAAAACATTAGACCTTATAAACATTGAAAACAATCATTTGGCTTGCCACAGATATATGTAGAATTCAGATGAGACCCTGCTTGGGCGAGCCACACCCATTTATAACACCCCTCCCCCCAAAGTCCAATTTTGACACTACCATCTTTAATTGCATATATCTCCATCTTCACAGGGTTTACAGCTATAAAACTGCATGAATATTTTAGGCAGATATAGATCACTCCAAATCAAGTTTCAAAAGTTACTGCTGTATTAAAACAGGTACTGAAAAATACCCCCAAAGTTGGCCATTTTTAAGGCAAAAAATCGTGGTGGATTCATTCAAGTCAATGTAGAAAATGGGTTTGATTAATTTATTAAAACATTTTGCTCTACAATGTTGTTAATAAATTAATAGGGCTGGTGAGCATGGACAGTGGATGTGTACTAATGTATATCAGGTCAGTGGGTCATAGGTCAAGGTCACTGGGCTTCATTTTTGTAAATTGTCATATATGGACTTTTTCATTTGTATGGACAAAAAGTTTTAAAGAGGAAATAATTCCTTAAAAGAAGAAATAAATCTTAGATTCTATTACTTTGGATAAGCACTTGCAATTAACTTGAGAGTTTACATGATTATATATATATATATATATATATATATATATATATATATATATATATATATATATATTTTAATATCATCAATTTGGTGAATACAAATTAAAATCTTAGTTTAGTAAAGATTTCTTTTTGGTGCAATATTTATCATTTAGAGATCAGGATATGCCAAATAGTATTTATGAGATCAAAGCCAGAACAAATCTTTTTTTAATTTTTAAAAGTTTTTTTTTAATCATCCACACCACTTTTTGGTGACTATTTATGAGCAAACAGTAACTAAAAAAATTCAAATTAGTTTATTTTTGTCTCAGATGAATAATTACAAAAAATAAAAAAATCACAAAATTATAATACAGCAATACATGCAAAGCAGTGCAACATTAGTTGTGATCATTACAACCTATATCATAATGTAGCAAAACAAGATAATTTTCTATTCAAAAAGCAAAACTAACACAACTGCAAAATATATCCTGGTGTTATGAAACATCTTAACAGTTTTATATCAAACATTACAGCTCATAACATCAAAGTTTATAATACATTCAAAAATAACTGCCGATTTTTTCTTCCTGAATAGTCTGTAACCCTCCTTACTGACATTTCATTCTCATCTTCATGTTCACAAATGCTAGGTTCTGCTGGCCTGTTTCTTGTGCCCTTCTAAACTCCTTCAGTAAAAACTCCTTTACTTTATTTGAATATAGTTTCAAAGGTTTATATGACTTTAAAGCTCATCCATTGTGTAACTCAGTGAGATATTCAAGAGGGTGGAGTTCTCTTGGTATAGTCCCAGTAGGCACATTTGCCTCAGATAAACCCAAATTAACTTTAACATCAGTATCACTCATATTAAAACTGCTCAAGGAAGAGAGACACCTTTTCTCATGTTGTAGGAATCAAGAAAGCCAAATTGTTGTAATTGGACACTCCAGTCCACGCAGGTTTGGAAGATGTCTGTCTAGCTGGATGTAGAAAATGGCAGCAAAAGAGCACCCCTCCACTCCATCTGCAGAAACTAAGGCCTCATGCATCTCCTCAGCATTTGTTATATTGTGGCTTTCATTTACATACATGCCTTTCTACAACATCCGTCATTTCCACACTAGTTTCAGTTTCTGCAAGGCTTTGGACTCTTTTGCTGACCATAAGATCACTGTGTGCCAAATAACACCTCTCAAATGTGCCTGAAATATAAATATAGCTTACTATAGACACATGAAAACACTTATCTCAAAGTTAATTGATACGTTGATGAAAAATAAATTATTATCCCATGTGTCAATGTTTTATAAGACATGGTTTCGAATATAAATTATGATGAGACTAGCAATTTTGCCAAGGCCAGCCCTAGCTTCAATCTAATTCCAATTGTTACCCTTAAATTTATTTTACCCAAATACCCTTAAACCAACCTAAATACCTACACAAATAAAGCTTAAAAGATTATGCTGAAATTTCATTATTTGAAAGGGGGCAGTTTTCTTTTAAAAAAAGAAAAAAATGGACCGTTTACCATTAAAAAATTGCACCTAGATCATTTTTCCGAAATACAAACAAACCCGTTTCTTACCTGAACCAAGTGGCACCAGTATATTCAAATGGCTTTTTGTCTACACTGACATCTGCAAGTTAATCCCATGACATATTTCGTTATAGGCTCGTTTTTCCCTGTGTGGATGGTTTCCAGCACAAACCAAGCCCATATCCCTATGCTGGTCACATGGTGTAACCCATTCATTCTCCCAAAGTTACTTGAAAATGTCCAATGCATTGCGGTCGTCGGAGACAAAAGAGCCCACACCTGACAAGAATCAGTTTGCTTTCGTAAGTCACGCTGTTTTGCTTCACGTAAACGCGACAAAGATGACTGTTAATATCTCTGTTGCAGTTTTTCAATACACTACATGTTTTTTTCACATCTGTAGACAGAGTATAAACCACATGAATGATATACGACTTCGGTGAGGAAGATTTGCAAAGAAACAGTCTGCGCTTTCCGCCATGTTGGATAATCACGCTGTGTTGTTCTGTCGTTAGTACATTAGTTTCACATGATTTTAAAATGTGTTAGATGCTTGTTTTAACCAGAAAAAAATTAGAATAGGTAAAATGAAGACATAAAGCTCAACTAACAGTGTTTCAAACCATTTGTTGACTTGAAAGAGATAGCTGAGGTTGAGTGCACCGATAAATGTGTCCAGATAAATTTACGAAAAATGAAGAAATTAGGTCATGTTCTATCTCTTACAACGGACAAGTTGTAGAACAGCAGTAAGTTTTGATTTCATGTATAAATAGATTAATGAGTTATCTGTTAGTCCTGAACACCCTTTACCCCAAAGACCTGTGAAGATGAAGATATTGTCAAAAATAGAAGGGGGGTGTTCAAAGCATGTGGTTCGTAGCCCTGAGAAAAACGTTTAGTTTGTTACCATGGAAACAAAGAGGGTGAAAAAAGTGTATATCATTTTAATCCCCTATTTTTAGGTTATAACATATCACCAAACTAAATCTTTAAGTGACACCTGTATAAACTGTAAGGCCAATCAATATAACCCTGTTTTTCAGATGAATTTTTGGTTGATTAACCCCCCAAATTGTGACTGCCCATATCTCTGTAGGTAGGGATTTTTTTCAGGAAATATTGCAGCCTCAGATATTATTCATATAAAAGTTCAAACACACCAAATATGGTGTAAATCCGTTCACCCCCGCCTTGCCGCATTTCCTACATTTGGTTTGGTTTTCTCGTGGACACACACTTAATAACAAAAAAATGATGAATGAATGAGTATATTAATGAAAAACGAGTGCTTTATATATGATAAGATAAATAATAAACGAGATAAAAAAGAAATAAACGTGCATTTAGTTTTGACACACATCAAGCCTATATCACTTCAAATGTAAGGCACTGGCAAGAAACTGCAAATGTTTCATATGTGCATTATGACAGTGCTGTAAATGATAAAGTGCACATAATGCTGCATGCCAACAAAGGCCACACTCGGTGAACTCACTTCTCCGGACTATCAGCTGAAAGCATCTTTAAACTTGTTGGAGTCTGAGCTCTAGCAGTTCCTGAACGACTTTTTGGACTCCGCCTAAAAATTCATATATCCAAGAAATCATCATATCATATTTCATAAGGGAAAACAGATAAGTCAGAAAAGAAAAAAGAGAAATTGAAAGTCCTTTGGTCTTCAATGTTTCAATGGTACACCTGCAACAAACCAAGTTTAATACATGCAATATCTAGCATTTACTAGCAGCTAATAAAACATTCATCCAACTAGCATAATAAATCTAGACATCAAAATATTGTTTATTTTTTTGAAACTGTAACTACAAATTGATACTTACGGCTCTGGTGAATTAATCAAACTGCCTAAATATGAAAGGCTATGTGATTCATGCATTGTCAAGTGCTCAGGTAAACTGCCAAGTGATGTGACTGCCACACTGTGTCGGCGATGACCAGATGTTGGATGCGGTGCAAGGAAATCTTGAGACGGTGCAGGAGACATAGACACAGCCATGCTAGGTCGTCTGTGTTAAAACCCAGGTTACATATAACACGTGCAGCAGTTTTCAAAGTAGGCCACCATCAAGGAGAATATACACAACATGGTGCAAGTGTGCGCATTACATGCAGTGTGCAAGGTGCAGTGAAAAGAAAAACAGCAAACCACAATTAATGCCAGCTATGCTTTGAAATATGTGCAATTCATTATGGACTTTGCTTTCATTCATGATTTTGTTAATTTTTTTTTTTTTCAGCAGACTGGAAGTGCTAGCAATTCTCAGTGCTAACCCACTTACCAAGATGTAACAGCACTAGCTATCATGGAAGGATCAGGGGTTTTACTGTAATGAATTGTATAATACTAACAGAAAGAAAGAAGAAATGCCTATATGGCTAACTTAGTTTTAGTTTTTCAGAGTCCATGTGTGTATAGTTAAAGGATAAAATGAATGAATATGCTACAAGGAGTCAACTTGTTCAGATTATATCTATATATCCCTCTGGCCTTAAAGGTTTTTTCTATTTGAACCAATTTATATATATTTATCACATACTACATTTAAAAAGCAACTATGGAGTGCATCAGGGATTTACAGCTCTAAAAGCATGAGTGTTCTAGCATAAATAACAGTCAAAGCATCAGCATGAAAAACAAAATATGTAGAACTAAAAGCAACATAAAGCAAGTATCGATAAAATCTGAACCAAAGAGATGAAAGTGGACCATTTGAAAATTTTGGGCTCACAGATCTCTGGGAGAGGGGGGGGATTTCAGAGGGGGGGGGGCATAAATACAACACCCAAATGGATATCTGGGAAAATCTGGTAGACTTTCATCTCTACAATCCCAAAATCAGCTTTTTTAACTTAAGCTTATTTGAACATGCATGAAATCTAGAGAACGATTTCCCAGTGTCTGATCCAATGACAAACACAAAATAGGGGATACACATGCATTTACACATTATATAATCACATTCAATAATCAACATGCAAAAATAACCAGCAACATAGAACATTTAATCAAGGAAGATTGCAATTTGGAGTTACCTGTCAGGTTCCTCATCTACATCTGCTATATCACTGTTTCAAAATGAAATAACATCAATTCACTTAAATAACAACAGTGAGTTAAGCACAAAAGATGTCTTATTAAGTAAGTATTTCTACAGAGAGTTTCGTACTTTATTCAGTGGTACTAAGTACATAAAAAACTATTCAGATATTTTTTCTCATACCTGCCACCACTGTCTTCACGGTCCTTTTTCGGTGTGATAGGCCTCTTTCCACTCTTTGTGTCAGCAGATATCAACCTGTCATCTTTTCCCATGCAAAGACTCAGAATCTTTCTCAGTTCAAGTGGTGCATCTACATCTGGGTCTTTATTCTCAACATTCCTAAATATAAATTGGCATAGTAATGACCTATTTATAAACATTTGACTTGTTTTATTCAATTTAAAATACATACACAAAATATGAATGCAGTAGCATAGATTATATAATCTTTTTGCCACTTACATTTTCAGCCGGATTATTCTGTAGTAAATGGACAATTCAGGAGATGCTTTGATGTCTTTATGAAACTTCACAGTCTCAACAAGTTGGTGTTTGATCTGTAAAAAGAAGAACTCAGGATAAAGTCATATCTGGTAAAGGTATTGATTCACATAGGAATACATCATTATACAGGTATATTACCACAGTAAAGAAATAAGAAAATAAAATTTGTGACCAAAAATTTAGTGCATGTGTGTGCATGTGTGTGTTGTTGTGTGTCTGCGTGGGTGGGTGTGTGTGAGATCACTGTAGATCACTCACAGCCAAGCCAAAAAACTCCTTAAAAAGTCCTGGCACATTCTGTCTGATGAAAGTAGCAGCTGCACTTGCTACCATAGAGGCATCAGACTGGCGGCCAGCATCTATGTGGCATTCTATCAGAGCTCTGAAATAAGTGAAGAGGTTTAAAAATCATTCAGTAGCAAAATGGTCCCATAAAAATGCTTCATATTTTTCAAATCTTTAATGCAGCTTTCTAAGCTGGAAGAACTTTTTTCCAAATACTTTCTAAATATCAAACTATAAATATTTACATCATCAATTGTGCCCTCCACTCAAAGTCCTTGTCATCAATGTCATCCAATGCTTTCACCACTTGGTGTAAACTTTGGGCAAGATAACGCCTATAATTTGGCTTCAAAAAAGGTCGACAAAACTGCCAGTAAAGCACTGAAGCATTGTAGACCAAAAAGTGGTATCTGAAAGAAAGCAAATATTTCAGTGCATGAATGATTGTTAAGATAGTTCATATAACAGATAGTCATTGATGTGTAAAATCACTAGCCAATCTCGAGAAAGTTATTTATTAAGCACTTTTAAAACTAACTAAAACCTCACCTTGGGTTTTCTTTCGCAAAGGTGATTGCTTTAACCAGATAAACTACAGCCTTATCAAGCTGTTCCTGAAAAAATATTTAAAAATCAAAGTAATTTTTTACCATTTTGCTTTTTCCATGTACAAAGTGTTAAGCATGTTTATTTTATCACATGAATGTACTCTCAATCATGATCAGTTTTAGCCATGAAGGCACATATAAAACAGGTTTATTATATGTATATATATATAT